ACCAGAAGCAGGAGCATTAGCAGGGCGGGGTGGAACAGGTGGGGCTTTTGGTTCCGGAATACGATTTTGTTCCCTGGGCAATGGGGGCGGTGGGGCCAAGGGCGCAGCATAATGAAAAGACTGCCTGTTGCCTTGTTTGTACACCCCCTGAGATGAAGGTAAAGGTTTGTCGATCTGGTGATAAAATTGGTCACCCACTTCATCTGGTGTTGTGTAGGTGTTCGTTTCTATGAGAGGCATCTCCTCCTTGCTAGAGTCTAAACCAGCTGTTCCCCAAGCTCCCAAATTATTTCCAGGCTTGATATTATTCCCAAGAAGACTGGCTTGAGATGAAGTCTTCACTGCTGGATAAGGTTTACTTTCCCAAAGAGGGTCCAAGTCAGAAAAGTCAAAGTTACTAGCCAGCATCTTCTGTTTAAAGCCGTCTGTGGTGTGGGGAACTTTATTTTTGAAAGGCTGAATATCAAAAGGTTTTGGTGTGGTTGGTTCTATATCAACAACGGAACCTTGAGATATTCTGTGAAGATGATCAAAATCTGTATTACTTTCACTGAATAAGTTGCGACCAAGGTCAATATTTTCTTTCTCATCTCCAATATGTGATTTTCTTACTGTGCTGTTGGCATTCTGCTGCCCTTTCTTCTGACTCATTGGTATATAAGATGGTAAAGTAGAATGTGCTTTTGGTGGAGCTATGTTGTTGTATCTTGAATCTGTATCTTCATTCTGAGAATCCAATAACATTTTACCTTTAGAAATTGCTATATCCTCAGTATTTACATATTCTAAATCATCGTCATCATTTAAAAAAGTTTTGCTGCTGGTAGCGGAGGTTGAACTCAAATCACTAGAAGACTGAAATCCATATTTCTTGTCCATTTCTGCATTGAGCATTGTCTCTAAACTGTCAGGATCTGGTGGGAGGTTGAAATGAAAGCTTTCTGGGTATGCTTCTTGTTCATTAGGCGATGAAAATATGTTATTTATTGATTGACTGGCGTTCGATGATGGTATATTTGTTGCATGGATTGGTGATGAACTAATTTCATTGTTAGCTGATGTGCAAACTTGTGGGGGTTTGGTCCTTGGCCTTGGTTTTGGAACTGGGCGTGGATTGAGTGACCCCGGTGAAGCCTGTATCTGGCTAGATGCCACAGGCTCATTGTTGGTGGTTACAGTTTGTTTTGTTGTTTTTTGAGAGACAGTGCTGATAACATTATTGGACTCTGAACCTGGGATATTGACAGAAGAATCATCCACCCCTGAACACTTGACGTTAATACTTTTCCATGCGGCTGTTTCTGACTCATCTTTTAATTCTTTAATAACTTCAGGCAAAGCTTCTAAATCTACACCTGGAACAGAGGTCTTGAGACTGGATTTTCTTTGTCTGGGGGTAGGTCTCGGGCTGTCTGGAACAGCTTGCCTATCAAGAAGTGCCGCTGACAGTCTGAAGGAGTTTCCTTTCTTGGGCATCAATACTGGTGGAGGAGAACTGGGCTCAGGGGGTAAAACTCCTGAGTTTGCTATACTGGCTCCCATGCTGGACCGTGCTGGAGGAGGGACTGAATAAATGTTATCAGCAGTATCCTCCTCTCCATTGACTCTGCTAAATCGATTCATGGTGACTTGACAAAAAATTCTATTGCTAAGGTTGATGCATCATCCAATCTAATAACCACGTTAAACAGTTGTCTAAAAGAGAGTATCATTAGCTTTTACTTTATTTTCCACCATGTTGCCTGTAAAAAAAAAAATTAGATCTGAAACTTGTGTAAGGGGGCTGAGTTTTTAAATATGTTGAACAGCTAGTATTATTTTATCTACTCATTTAGTACAATAGCTGTCATTTATTGTGATTCAGCTTTTCCACTGAATATTGAATCAATGTTGAACTTAAAAAACAAAAATAAAACTAATATTCATGCAAACACTTACAAGATTAGAGGAACTATGTGTATTTTAATTAGTTTTTTTAATGGAAATAATTAAATCATTTTTTTTACACCAACTTTTCCCCCTGCACTCATGCCTTTAAACAAAAACTACTTAAACTGTAAGGCAAGGGGAAGGCAAGGGGAAGACATGGGAAAGACCTGGGCGGTAAATCACTTAAGCCTAATAAATTAAGCTGGTGATTCAATGTGCAGACTTCCCAGCAACCAACATACAACAAAGTTTTAACAGCTACATTAGTGTGACATTATTTATTCACTCTTTTTATAATGCAAATTTAAATAAAAATGCCACATTAATTCAGAGCTAAAAGTCACTGACTACAGAGCTGGCATATAAATATTTTAAAAATTCTGCATCAAAAGCCAAAGTTGTGCATACTCCTTGTGAACACCTAAATGGGATATTAGTGTCAGTTAGTTTCTGGGGCTGGTTATCATTAAAAAAACATCAGTGGATTTTCAGCAAGGATTTATCGCTTAGATTTGTGGCTGTCACAATTCCACAGTGTAAATGAAGATTAATGAAAACTAAATAGTATTAGAAAGTATTTTAGTTGCAGTACAGGCTGTGTTTACAAGGAAACCTTTTGGTACGCCTAAATAACCAAATACTTAAAAAATTACACTTCAGTGTGACTTAAGTTTAAGAAACACTTTTAACCAATGAACCATGACTATGTATAACATACTCCATACATTGTTACAATGTACATAGATTAGTATGGTAACAGTATAGTAGTATAGTTTAACTATTAGTTAGGCTCTAATTATTAACCCTCATTCTGAATAGGTATTATAGTATTATATTATAGTTATATTTATGATTAAGAGCCATTATTTTTTGTCATTTATGAAGAAATTATTTAAATTATTATAGTATAGGGCCTACAGTTTTCACCCAAGTTGAGTTTCACTATTACTATGACTATGAGTAGTTTGAGTAGTATCAGTCAGCCAGTCAAGTTAGTGAAACTACTAGTATTAACTCTTTCGATGCGGACCAACGCACACTGCATTCAACCGTCATTCTCAAAAGCACTGACCAAAGCGCTGTGCGTTATCATGTTTGTTTCTTTGCTATTTCTCTATTAAACTTTTTAAGAGCTATTTATAAATAAGACTTTCACATAGAAGAGTGGTACTTCATTGTTTATAAATGAAACCAAGGTTTATTTGTTGTCATTTGACACATTATTTTAATGATTTTCTTTGCTTTTTCTAATGTTGCTATGGCTACTCTAGGCCCTAGTAGGTGAGTAAGTTTCCTAGACAATCGAAATGCCTATCTCACACTCGTCCGTCCGCTACTAGAATATGGTACGATCATCTGGAACCCACACCTAAAGCAAGATGTGGACAAGATGGAGCGAATACAGCGTAACGCAGTGTGCTTCATGGCAAGTGACTACAAATCCACCACTCCTGACTTCATCACTGACCTCTTAAAAAGATTTGACATTCCCTCCCTCAAAGACAGACGAGAGGGACTCCGGCTGATATTCTTATATAAAGTGGTCATGGGACTGGTGCCGGCCATCCCAGCAGGCAAGTACCTCACCCCACAGAAGCCAGGTTGCGTAATCAGAGCCAAACGCTCAATAAAAACTGACTTCACCTCTGACAACTCCATGAGCAGTTACATCCGGAAAAATAATAAATGCTTCACTGTGCCTCGGTGTAACAATATAAACAATCATTCTTTCCACAAACAATAATTGCTTGGAACCAACAGGACAATGCAGCCGTGGACTCGACATCAATCAAGAGTTTTCAAGGGTGCCCTGGCACCCGCTAGGAGCCGTTAGGATAGCCGCATCGTTGCCCAAAACGTTGCACATATACATGGATGCAGTGACTTACCCTATCAGAATCAGAATTAACAGCTGGAAAAGCTTTGGAATTGTTTTAAACTATATTTAATTTGATAGTGAAGATGATTTACATTTAGATCCATCGCATGATTCCGATAGTAGAAGTTTTAGAGGATTTGAGTAAGTGAAGATGAGGTATGCGTAAATCATAGGGTTTGGGCTTGGGGGGAAAAAATGGTTTAGCATAAAATGTTTTCACATTTTATGGTTCTTTTCTGTAAATTATTTCATATAGTTCTTACTTTTGCCTTTTTCAATTATCTTTTATTTGATTTTGATACCAAGTGGCAAGTTTAGTCTACCAAAGAATAATAGGCCTATTTTAAATATTTTTTAATAAACCCAACCTCTCACTCTTTTTCGCTCTTCAAAACTAATGTAATTTTTTTCGATAAAACAATTCCGCTGCGAAAGACTTAAAAAGTAGTTCAGTCAGTGAAGTTAGTTTATTTAGCTGCCACTGTTAGTTTTACTGTTAATATTAATATGCGACCTAGACATCCTTTTGCAACTAAATAGCGGTAATTTACAGTCATTACTTTTTATATGTAACAATCGTACCTTAAGTTTTAGATCTTACCCTTAGATGACCTAAAAACAAAACACTCTTATGTCGTACACTCTAGGGTTTTCCTTGTTTTGATTTTCATTAAGATTTTACTTCCGCAGTAGAAGAATCAATTATTTGTCTCTTATTTTAAGTTATTTCCGTTTGATTTTTATAAATTTTGGATTCACAAATTTTCTGTGAATTAATCATAACATTTGTCTTTTCAAATAATTTAGGGGCTAACATATAATATTATTTTGTAAATATTTCATATTCAGAAAAGTAAAATTAATTAAGACTAAGCCTGATGAATGAACTCCAGGGAAGAGTTTTTGATAGCAGCGCTAGTAAAAACCTAACAAGTTTTAAAGGATTTTTATCATTTATTTAATTTACCCGACCCTTCCCCTTTCTCCTTTTTGCTCTTCAGAGTCAGAGTCTTCATTATTCAGTCATTCAAATAAACATATAAAAGTGTACCATCGATTGAATTACTACTGATTGCAGTGCCAGAAAAAAAATGTGTATTTAGATCTAAATAAATTGTTAAATTCCCCTTTTGTTTAAATTTAAAACAATTTATGAATGGGAATTAATGAATATGTAAATTTAGTACCCCAAATTAAAATGTACATTTGTTCCGTTGAATCGACTTGAGCAATATTAATTTTAATGTTTACCATATTGTAAACACCATTTCGACACGATTTTGAACATCCCTATTTATACGACATCTTATCTTTTAATTAGTGCAGCTTTTTAACGAAAATACAAATGCTAAAGAAGTTTAGTGATGCACAAACAGTTGACATATTTAAAGATGAAAAGGATGGTAAACTTAGGGAAGTTGGAAATCAAGCGGTTTGGTCGCTATCGTCTTGTAAACCAGGTAGGTAGGTTAGAGTTAGAGTTGAGATAGGCAGATAGGCGTTGACGTTAAGTTAGGTATCACTATTATGGCTGTATTACTTAATTATCAATATATTATATGTTACCGGTAATGTGGGAAATCCGACATTGTATATAATCCCTAGGAATGCCTGAAATTTGTAGGCAAAGTATGAAATGGCTTGTATTTCAATTTCACACATTTCCTAGGCATTCTTTACTTTACACTGCCAATCAAAGAGCAACCCCACAATGTCATTGTCAATGTATAGAAATTTTTTAGAATACCCCACCATTCCTGTTTGATTCTTTGCACAGGGGTTCCCAACCCCTTGACATTTTGCAAGACATACGGACAGGAAGAGCTCGAAAAAATATTAGAAGGTGTACAAACAACACAGCAGGAAGAAGCAAATCATCAGATGCAAGATACAGAGCCCACTATACAGAATACTGAAGAGAATGTAACCAATAATGGAAAAAAACAAATTGATTGTGACGGCATGGTTACTCAAGATCCTTCCTCTTCGGCTGTTTGTTGTGTCTGCTAAAAAGAAAGAATCTGTACCCATACATCATACATGCTGAAACTGTCGCCGTAATGTTCCTGTTATCTGTGGGAATGCTGCTAAATACGACGGAGTTGAGGAAATAGAAGGTTATAGTGTTGGCATTTTGTGCAGTCTGTGTTTCAAGATTAAGAGAGCTATAGACTTAAGCTAAAAAATAATCTAAATTGAACCTTGAAATCCAGGCCGAAAAAAATGAAAATAAACTCTTTAGAAGCCACTGTGTCAATTCCTATTCTTGACATTGACAGGGCACTGGGTGACTACCGCAGTATGTTTCCAGTTGTTAAGACAGTGACAGAAGACGGCTTTTATCGATTGGGAACTGCACAAGATGTCTTGAAACAACTGTATGAGAGATCACAGTTCGATGTATGTCCAAAGGACTTATTGAGAGTTGAAGACATGCCTGACCATGAAATACCTCTCCGATCTGCTGCTGTCTCTCAGTCAACAGGAAGCGGTTAAGGATTCGTGAGGTGTATGTGCAAGGCAAATGCCAAAATATGGTGTCTTTGTATGAAAACAAATTAATTGCAATTCAAAATGCCACTCCAGCCTTACTTGGTGCAACAAGTAGCTCGATGCCACCTGTGCTTTCTGGTTTCGTTGTTAAACACATCCTTTTACTTATTTCATATTTCTTCTTTTGTTTTCAAATGTGTTTTTCCAATAAAAGCATTTTCATTATGCTCTTTTGAAACTTTGCCAGAAGTATATTTGTCATTATGTATAATACCGAAGCAATGTATAAAATGCCTAGGCAAAGTATGTAACATAATCACGAAAATCAAATATTTCATATTTTGCCTAAAATCTTTAGGGCATTTTATATAATGCCCTAGGCATTCTATACAATGCCTGCATTTCACACATTGCCGGTAAAATATATATTGCTATTATATTACAAATTATTAGTAATTAGGGAGGCTTCGGCCTTCTGTATTAATATATATTATAAATGTAAAGGATAATATAGTACTGTAGTATAAAAATATAGTATAATGATAATATAGTGTCATGCTAATACTAATAAGTAGGTAGGCATCAATTATTCATCAATTTCAATACTAAATAATTTAATAGTATATTAAATAGGGCATGCTATGATACTGAATCTGATGTGATAGTCTGTACAGGTTGAATGCAGACAATTGGTGGTATGACTTATCACACAGCCGCCTTCTTGGTTGCCATGACCTGTGAACTTTTATAATTCACTGTCACCAAACCTATCCTGAACCCTAAATACTAAATGTATCCCTAAACCTAACCTGAACCCCTAAATCATACTAAATGTTTCCCTAATGGCCTAATGGTACCAATTCTCTGCATTAGCCCAAGTGGGAAAGTCTATAGTTATCAATCGTTCAATTAGATAGGATCAAGTAGGCATCCAACATCTTACTAATTCTAATACTGAAAGAATTTTATCTTTAAATTGCTATGTTGGGACTTTGAAAGATTTGTAACATTAAAATGCCACCAAAGCTTTAAATTCAGCTGAGGCTGGGAAATAATGTTATTGTAAAAATTTGTGTGCTAATTATTATGATTAAAATTATTGAATGGCCTAAATATCTCCATAATTACCATAATAATAGTTTTACTGCATATAAAGTGTGCATTTTTTTTAAAAATAGTGTTACTTTAGTTAAGTGAAACGGTATAATAACATGATTTTACCAATCTCTTTATAGGAATGTTGTCATGGTCACATTACTTCCCCCCACCCTCCCATTATTGATTTTCTGGTGGAATATTGGCCTACTGAGTTATACAATTGAGTACTCGTTAAATTGGGTAAATTGTTCATCTATAACACAAATTAATTTATTCAATGTCTAGAAATCACTATTTACTAATTATTCTTTTAATGCTGTACAGAATCAATATTTTTAACGGCACATAATCCGATCAAGGTGCGATGCATACAAATAAAATATATACCAAGAAAAATAAGTATAAAAAAAGTGTGTATTAGATTATGTCTTGAAAATCCGATTAGGAGTGAAATTATAAGACGAGACACAAAAAAATTAATCTTGAAGTGCACCATGTCCTGTCTAAAACGTCGGCACATATTTTTTGGGACAAGATATTGTATTGATGACGCAAAAGTCAGAATATCACCAATTAGTGTTTTGTCATCATAATTAAGTTGATAAAAATTTAGACATCCTTAGAGAGGTGTTTTGGACAGGACATCATGAGAGGATGCCAGATTATAGTGTTGTAAAAGTGGTCTTCCAACAGAAGCCAAGAGGCAGATGGCTCAACAGTCGACCAAGATTGAGCAGGGTTGATGATGTAGAGATGAATTTACATCGGCTTGGTGTCCACTCATGCAGACAAAAATTCATTGATCAGTCCTAATGGATTAATGTGGCAGAACCAACTTGATCTTTTGCCCAACAGATTATGATAAGAGATTGTCACAAATATATTACCTACACCCCATTTACCTACAGCTCCATCTGTTCAAGCATATTGCTGTTTGAGATTGTCACAAATATATTACCTACACCCCATTTACCTACAGCTCCATCTGTTCAAGCATATTGCTGTTTGAAGATACATTTTAAGACACAACATTTGAGAAGTAGATCATTATCAACTTTCTGTGTATTAATTTATTCATATTTTGAAAATCTATAAGGTTTTGGGGTGGACCAGTTACGTGAAGACTCCAATGAAACATACTGGCAATCAGATGGCCCCCAGCCTCATACTGTAAGCATACAGTTTAGGAGAAAGACAGCAATACAAGATGTTTGTCTATATGCTGATTACAAATCTGATGAAAGCTATACTCCAAATAGGTAATTTTTAAAATTATTTTTTTTTCTGTTAAAAATACTTCCTATTAAGTAAGATAAAGCATTGTATTAATGCATTAAATCTTTAAGCAATAAAAACCCCAGACAAAGACTATCAGCTTATATAAAAATACTAAAAAAGTGTCCAGTTTTTTAATTTGTATCTAAATCAAAATGATTATCATTGTTTTTGTTTTTATTTAACACGCTGATAATGAATATGTACAATGTTGTTAAAACACATATTTCCATTTATTTTGGATCAATAAACAAAATGTTATCTTGTTTCAATGTATTTTTTTAATGTGCTTTAAATTTAGAGTTTTAAATATTATATTTAAATCCTTTTATAACCATTGTCCTAATGCTCTTAATATCTGATTAGTTCTCTAAAAGTTCTTCACTGGTAATTTTCAATTAGGTTATCCATTCGGGCTGGGAACCATGCTAATGATCTATGTGAAGTTGAGCAAGTTGAACTCAGTGAACCGACCGGATGGGTTTGCATACCTTTGAAAGATGTCCATGATAAACCCATACGAACATTTATGATTCAAATTGCTGTGCTTAGCAATCATCAAAATGGCAGAGACACTCACATAAGAAGGATTAAAATTAGATCACCCATAAACTATGGTGATGTGCCATATCCAAACACAAATACTTCGGCCTTAAAGAATTTAGTTTACACTGTAAGATAAAAAATACTCTGCCAAATGTTAACTTTTTTTATGGCCGAGCAGCATGTTGATTATCATTAAACATTTAATGTAAATTATTTTTATGAAAATTTGAATGTTCAAAATAAACCTCAATTACTTAATATTTAGTTTGAGTGATTTGTCTTTTTGATAGTTTTATTTATACAATTAAATATTATACTATACTTAATTATTGTGCATTTTTTGAAGGGTGAATTGGCTCAATTACTAGTTGAGATTAGACATTTCCAAACAACCAAACTTTTTAGTCATAAATTGATCTGAAAAAAAACAACACTTCATTCCTAAATAAAATCCAATTTATGCCAACAAAAAGTGTAAACTTACCACATTAAATATTTTTTAAAATTATTTTTTTTTCAAACATAAGATGAATTCGTTTCATTTTGATCATGAATTTTCTGTAAGTCTTGATAATTCAACAAGCTAAAGAAAAAGAAAGGGACAGCTGGTGTTGAGATCCGCTGGTGCTCACTTTTTTAAAACCTGCTGGTTCACTCTCTCTCCATACCTACCACACTTTACTTTAAATATTACATTTAGGACTGGCACTAGCAATGGCAGTAACTTTGACCAAAGGTGAACAAAAGGCCAGTTAGGAAGCATCCCTAGCCTACCCATAAAATGCAAGGCCCAACAGAATTTGCTCTCTTTTTTTCTGTACCGTTAATTCGTTCAGAGAGCCTGGCTAGCTATATTTTGTGCTGAATTTTTTTGGCCCTTAATTGGCTAGGTTTGTTCTCTCTCATTCTCATGTTTTAAATGTGTTTACAAGATATATTAATGATAATTCCATAAGGAAGGAATTTTAGTTAGCTCTATACTGTAATTAGTGATGTGATTGTAATGGGATCCTGGTTTTTTATTTATGTCTTGCATTTCTTATTATAGCCAGTGTAGTGTATATTGTTTAATTTAGTCAGTTGTCGAATTATAATAACTCTGACATTTTAAGATTTAATAAGAAGAAATTGATCTGGGAATCTCTCAAGAAACTAAGCACGTTTGTATCAAGTCGGTAGACTGATTAATAAGTTCCCGTACTGCAGTACCCGGATGAGGATGAAGAACAGAATAGTATTGCTGTGTGTGATGTGAGACCACAGGAATGTGAGCCAGACCTGGGCACAAAATAAACTATAGTACCAGCCAGTCTTAATATAAGGTAATTAGTTATAGATATTAGACATAGTTGTTTTTTCTATTTTATATTATATCATGTGTTTGTCTAATTTGTATAATTATATTTAAATATTAATATTCGTGGGCTGAACCACAGGTGCTATGTAATAATTAGAAATACAGTAGTCATATATATTAATTTAGTGAGAGAGTGCCATTGTAAGTGTGAGTGGCGTTTTATTACTAGATAATCTATCCTCCCATTCAATATAATGTACTAATACCCAAGACAAAACTATCGTACATGTGACAAGGGAAACAATAATATGTTAACAGATAGATATGAGTATGAGTGACATTTGTATAAAAAAATTGTACATTTAAAGTTAAAAAAAAAAGGAGGAAAATGAATGATTAAAATGTGAATAAATTATGCAAACTAAATCATTTATGGCAAAATAAATGATTACAGTTAATGAGTCAATATATTTTTAACTCCTTTTTTTCTATCATATTCTAACTAGTCATTTCATAAATTTTAATGTTGGTGGAGTAATGGTATGGATGATGATACCATGATTTGCAAGACAAAAAATTATAATTAAAAGAATACCTTTTTGAAAAAAATATATGTTATTGGTGATGTTTTCATCAGCCCTACTCAACTTACTAGAATCAAGTATAGAAAGAAGAAACATGGTAGGTGTCCACAAGCAAGCTTTTCTGAATTTTTTTAAAGACATTGAATTTATGTTTATAAACATTTTTACACTTAAGTCAGTATTTTAGAATAAATAAAACTGAAACAAGTTGAATATCATTCTATTTTGAATTCTATTAATAAAGCAAGTCGTACCTTTGAAATGTCAAGAGGTTCTTAGTTTATTTAATTATTAAAATATTTAGTATTCATTAGTATACACCTTGTCAGGAGAAAAAGTTTAATTACAGTCTGCATCCCTTATTTATAAAATATCCCCTGCTTTATATTTTGATTGACATTTCAATTTAATTAAAAAAGACCTTTTTTTATTTCATATAGGATTACTATATGAAGAATATGACAACTAATTCTGAGAAATGTATATAAGCTATGTGAAATTGAAAATGAAATATAAAAAAAAAATTGCAAATAATTAAAAATGTTAAATGTTACAAAAAGGGAGTAGGTTTTACCACTATAAAAACAATTTAAATACATTTTAAACTAAAAATAACACCAGCAAATTTTCATAACTAAATAAAGAAAATTTGTAGGTGTTAAATTCCTTCTTCGCTGAGTAATCTGTAAATTGATGAGATTTCTTTGCTGTTTTTCATTAATCATTCATTTAAAAAAAAATTAACTGCTGTTGATAACATAATATTTATTTAGACACATGAAGACGAATTGTGTGAATATTAAATTAATATTACATATCAGTATATTTAATATAAAATTAATATTACTTGAAGGTATATTTACACTGTACATAATAATTGGCTAACATAATCAGTTGAGATACAGATTGGTGTTAAACAGCTTATACTGATCAACAAAAATAAACTAATTTGGTTAAGTTTCTTGATTATTAAATTAGGGATCTTATTTTTTAGGTTCTCATCTAATTTTTTAGCAGATTGTAAACCTGTTACAATAGATCATAAATCAGTTAAAATAGATTATAAATCAGTTACAAACATGTTAAATATAACTAACTTACACATTATATATGATATTGTTATTCTCAGCAAACATTCCAGTCAGAGAGTATGCATCAAAAAGAAAATTGAATTTTTCAGAGACCTCTGTGATAAACAGTGTTGATGGCTCTCTGTCTCTTGCCATAGTTGACTCACCAAGTTTCTCCACCCTATTCAACAAGTTAGGCTGTGAATTTTGACATGAAAATTTGTCCCTTGTGACAGAGAGGAGGACAGGCTCTGTTCTTATGTTGAAAGTGTATTGCAAACTTTGCAATCTGCTTCATGCAAGCAATGCAACATCAAGAACAGTTGTTAAAAGCAAACATTATGACACAAGTAGATGGCTTGTGACTGCGTTCATCAATGTGGGATTAGGCTACTCTGCCATGGAGTCCTTTTGTGAGGTGATGGGCATGAATGCCATGACCAAAAAAACGTACAAGGCTCATGTCAAGGAGATATACGAAGGAATAGACAGTTAAAATGATTTTTTTTAGAGCTGACGCCATTGAAAAAGTAAAACAGGTGCATGGAGGAAGGAATGAAATGCTGGACATCACTGTCAGCGTTGACGGATCAGGGCATAAAAAAGGCCATACCTTCAAGCATGGAATTGGTGTTGTTATCAATGGTACTACAGGATTAGCCATAGATTTCCATAGCATGTCCTCATATTGTCAGGTAAGAAAAATAAATTTATTGTCAGGTTTTTTTTCTGTATTATTGCTATGAATTGAATGTTTAAAAAAAATTTTTTTTAGTTTGTTTGTTTGAGCAGCTAGCAAATAAAATCTTTTTTCTATCTTAGCTATGCTCAACCACTGGCAAGGCTATGCTGAAGAATAGTGACACTGCATATCAGAACTGGTATGCTACCCACAAGGAAAGATGTACAATCAACCATTCTGGTTCTGCTGGCCTTATGGAAGTTGAAGGTGATATGGCAGCGATCTATGAAGCAGGGTCTTTGGTATTTACACTAATTTTGTCAGTGATGAAGATTGTAAGACATATAATTAATTGTTTTCTTTGGCATCATATGATGTTCCAATAATAAAGGAAGAGTGTCAAATCATGTGGCAAAAAGGCTTGGATCTGTGCTGCGGAACTTTGTGCCTACTGAGTCTAAGTTTGGTACAACTTTGGGTGGTCGCAAAGCTGGAAGTTTAACTCGGGTAAAACATTTTCTTAGTTTGTTAGCTTTATTGTCAGCATTTTGTTGCCATTATTAAATTTAAAACGTTTATGAAATTTGTGTAGATTAGGATTTAGATTAGACTTGAAATTGTTTTCATTTTTCTTGACCTAAAAATTTAGTTTACAAAAATAAGGCTTGCACCTGAGATTTTAGGGTATAATTGTTTTCTAACTTCACAATTGTAATATAGATTTATTTATTTTAATTTACAGATGAAAGCAACTTGCTTCAGCAGTACTATAAGTAGTATAAGAAGGCTGTAGCCAGCAAGGTCAGTAGTTCCTCAGAACTGCAACAGAAAATTATGACTACATTTTACCATGCATCTTCAACGAACGAGGAGCCAAAACACCACTCGTGCCCTGCTGGTAAATCGTCATGGTGGTTTTGGCAAAGAGCTATTGCTTACAAGTCACCACCTTCCCATAACAGCAGTAGCTTAATTTCACCAATGGTTGCTGGCAAAATAAATTCAATTTATGAAAGGCTGAGCACAGATCTGACACAAATTTTTCAAATCAAAAGCAAAAAAATAATGTTTCTATCAAATCTTACTTAATTTCATGTTTCAATAACTATTTCTATTAACTAATGAGAAAATAAGCAGCTTTTATGAGGTATTATTATTAAGTATTTTAGCTTTATGGCTACCCCTCCCCCCTTAATGCAGGGTCAATATATTGGTAGACGTTGTTGTAATTGTCTTTTAAATTAATTTGAATATTTCATTCCTTGATTTCTAGACTGATTTTTTAAAACTCATTCTTAAATAAACCTACAAAGCAAATAGAACGGAGGAGAAGATAACATTTTGAGGAATTTATGTTGCATTCATGGCAACTGAATACCTCTTTAGCAAACTTATAAAAATAAGAAGAGAGTGCGTAATTCACCTATGAATCATTTTAACGAGTATGTGATAACACTAGAAAATAATTCAACATTAAAGCTATTGGTTTTTATTATGTTTCAAAATACAATTGCAAAGGAAATAATAATACAAATACAAACTTAGAAGAAAAAAAAGGAAGCATCTTGATATTAATTTTATTTTTTTGCTACTAATTAACTTCTTACTACTATTTCTAATTATATATGTTATTTCATTTATGAAATAAATTATATTTAAAAACCAATGTCATTGAAATAATTCACATTTGTGTTCAAATATAATTAAAGATTAGGATAATAGAGATAAATATTCTAAAAATAAAGCAAGCAAATAAGTTTTTTTCCTTAAAATTAAAAAACATATTCGCCTTTGCTTTAAAATCTAAACATTTATTTGTAAAACTTATTTTTACTTTTAAGATGAAAAACAAATGAACAAACGAAATCATTAGTATGATGAACAAATACTTATGATAAGAAATACTTATAATAAAATGATATGTGTTGAAAAAAATACTTCACAAAACTTTTATCCGTAGGGAGAAAAGTATTTTCTTTAAAACAAAGCTGTTAAATAACTATTGAAAAATATTTGTAGCAATACAATATCTTTTGTTTTTATAAGCACTTCAATATTGCTAGTTACCATATTTTTAAACTTTGACAAAGAAGCAGATATAGTACACTTAATGAATCGAGATTTAATTAGTTATTTTTAAATTAGACGAAGTATAATCATTAAAGAGTCTATACATTAATTATAATGATAACAATAAAAACAGCAATAAGATCAAAATAATTTTTCCACTGAAATAAGTAAAATTCCATGTTAAAAAATTTACAGTTCAAATTGAAAAACTACACACTTCACTTCATATTGCATAAATAATAAAAATTCTGAATTAATGTCAATGACAATTTGAAGTAAATATCAATGGGTATTTGATAAAAATCAAACAATAGACAAATTTAACAATTCAGCATTCTGAATGGATGTCAATGACAACTTCAAGTAAATTTATTTGGGTATTACTAGTATTAGTTTTAGATAAACCATCTTATAGCCTAAGTACTTTTCATAAATTGGTCATTAGGGACTGAATTCTGTATGTACATTATTGATGATGTTCCAAAAATTGTTTTAATCGCCAATAATTCTGCCTAAATAGATTAAATGCTGATACTGTTAGGTATTATTTCAGGGTCCAAATATGGGTATGGTGGATCTCTTTTAGTGTTTTCATCCTTGATTTTTTTACTGATTTCTTTTAAATCTGTCTTAAACCTTAAGAACAAAATAGAAATGATAATAAGTTGGGAGAGACTGCAATCAGGTTAGGTAGAAGGAAATGTGGGAATCAATGTAAGGGAAAACAATGAAGGTGTCAGCAATAATACTGCTTCAATGAACAGACAATGAGTAACACAGATATGAAAAATAAATAGGCTACTTAGCCGAAATGTTATATCCGAGAAACAGTGAACTAAATAGAGCATAGGAGGATTATTGAAGAGACTTAGATAAGTACAAAATATTTATACAACAAACTACTGGTATTTTTTCTGTTTCAAAAGTCAAACCAATCATGTTTAGTTTTGGGCCAATATTTGGAAAATTGTAAAGTTTTAAGTGAGATAAGGTAAAAAAAGTTAATTTACGGTACCAGGAAACGAAATTATTATATACTATTTAATTTATCACATCAGAGTACAAGACTTTGCTACATCAAATTGTGTTAAAATTACAAGATCTTAAATAAAAAATTGAAAGAAAGAATTTGTAAGTTTCTGCATACTAAAGAAAAGAAAATGTTTTTGTTTTAATCTATTAAAGTTAGGCTGTTTGAAAAAAAGGCTGAATACTTACTCTTCTAAAATTTTCAACGCCTGTGGATCAAATATGTATTGCACTTCAAAGTCTCCCAAAGTCTTGGTGCCCTTGTTACTTAGTAATTTAGTGACAATCATGATGTTTAATGTTGTGGACCTGTCTGGTAAGCAATTGAGAATATCTCTCTCTGTGGTAACTTTTTTCTAATGGAAGATAGAATAAGCTTTTAACTAAGTATGCATTTTTTTAAAGGCTATTGTTAAGTATAATATATATCGAGCATGTATGTTTTTCTACACTCTACACAGAATACTTTTAAATGTTAGTTATTAGTTCACATTAAAGCAAAGGATTTTTATTTGATATCACATTCACATATAAAATTCTTACTGGGTTGGTTGGAGGCTTTCCCCTCATCAATCCTGGATAGTTAGTAGGGGCACCGTAGTGATCATACTGTGGGAAGTTGGCTGAGGCATGAGATACGCTGCATGTGAAAATAATGCAGGTGAGGATTTGCTCCAGTTGTTCATGTGTAGTAATTTTACCAGCCCCTGGAACACCCTAAAAATAATAATGTGGTTATTAAGTTATGTTAGAAAATAAAATATACATTAACAGTATCAGTTTTAATTATACAATTAAAATATCCTGACAAATTTTTATTTTTAAATCTAAATTTAAAAAAAACAAAATGAATTTACACATTGCGTTTAAACTAGAATAACCGCAAATTCATTAATTAAATGCTATTTTTGGGGTTCTTGGAGAGGGGGGTGATTAATTTCAGACTACAAAGACTAGTCAAATAAGTTTTGATTAATGTTTTATGACATATCAATAGTAAGTTAGATGTACATTTGAAAAACAAAACTGATAATGGAAGGGTAATATTACCAAAATTCCCACGCCACCTTTTTTTCTTTCCTTGACTAACTCATCTGCCCAACTTTGTATCTCTGTATCCTCTTCTAACAAACTGAGTGTAGCTGTATGTAATATTTAACAACTGAAAATCTGGCTAATCTTCAGTAAAGATTGTCACACAATAATTAACTATATTGATATTGATACAGTAAATTTAGAAAATAAATTGCAGGTAGGCTGTGGTTTACAAACAATATTCCAATTTGAATTTTCATTATTCTACACCTTTCCATTTTTAAACAATTAATGTTTCTATTACTAGTGGATAAGCAGTCCAACCTTTCTGCCATCACTTTAAAAAAATTATAACTTAGGATATATCTCAAAGGAAATGAAACAGAAGACTATAAGTTTGCACCCCCAAATTTAATATACTGGTAAACCAACACTTATATAATATTAGTTAATGATGCTGAACATATATAATAAAGTAAAATAATTCCTGTAAGTTAAAACAATTTTAATTTTTGTTTTGATATTAATTTATATTTAAGTATTCATGTTCTGCAAATTACATTTTAAAAAAAGACCAAAAAAAAAAAAAAAGGATTTAAAATAGCTATGGTGTCACTCAGAATTATTTATAACATAAGTTATGAAGTTCTCTCAAACTAAAATTTCTAACTCCTCAAAGTAACAAAGCTTTTAATATTAAACCTTCTTTGAGAATTAAACTCCAACTTACGGTAGTAAAGTTTCACATAAGACTTAACATATTTACAAATAGCAGCATGCACCAGCAGTGCATCATCTCTAAAATGGTAGCCAAGAATAATTATTTTGTCCTCAACCTTTGGAAGACAAAAAAATGAGAAAAATCACAGAAGATGAATAAATAATAATGATCTTTGAAGACTATTTCATTCCTTTAAAAAATTAATAAACTCCAGAATTTATTTAATTTGTTTTTTTTTCAAAGACAGTAATGAAACATAAAAAACATTTAATTTTTAGTAATATTTATGTTTTTTGTTGTACTAATGAAGGCATTTGCCAAAATGTTTGAATTTGTATATTGTGTAATTATAATAAAAGCTTAACATATAGGCCTAATGGTTTATCTACACAATTAAATTGTGTCTCATTAACCTAGGAGAGACACCTACTCCTCTTCTTTTTAGATCTTCGGGTAAATTCCCATCTTCATCCATTCTCCAACACTCAAAGCTGTTTTCAGAAATGTACAATTCTTTATGAATAAATGTGAACGCATAATTTTATCACATATTCATGTACATAAAGGGACACAACTTTAATTGTGAAAAAAAAAAAAGGACAAGCAGTTAAGCATTTTCTTAATTGCTTTATAATAATAATAATGGGACTAATAAAAAATGTTTGTGGTGCTTTACCTCCTTTTTATCAGCGCAAGGAGTCCTTTGTTACCCAAGTTCATGGTCTTATCAACCCATCCTCCTTCAGATATTAACAATTTTAAGCCACGGCTGTAATTTAAATAATAAATATTTCACTAGATAATATGATAATAGAGATTTAAACTGCTCAGACAAATTTCTAATAATCAGATGATATAATAATTAAATTATTTGATTATTAATCAATGTCCTATCCTATAACTTTTGAAGAAGGTTATGTTGCTTTACCCATATTAATTAAGTTAATGTATTATTTCAAAAGGCTAAACTATGAACAATTTTAAACATGGACAACATGGTAGATGATACTTAATAATAATATACAGGGTGGGCCAAAAAAAAGTGAGAACATCTCGTAAAATATTATGCAACGAAATGTTCTCACTTTAATTGGCCCACCCTGTATATCAAAAAGTACATTAAATAGTATTGGCTTAGTCAAAGTATGATTTTTTGAATATTACAAAGTACATG